GTCGAATGCCGAAACAGATCGTCGAGTGTAACAGCTGAACAACAGAATAGTAGCAGTACAGCATTTGCGTGCAGAATTCCCAATACTTGGACCGAAAAGTAAATTGCATGTGACTGCTTGGCTGTCTCTTAATAGCTTTATTATTTACGTGATGAATCTCTGGCATTAAGCGGCTTTACACTTTGCAAGGGTGTGAAGCCGGGAGACGAAATGAATGCAATTGTGCCTGACGGATTTGCTTCTGAATCGGATGCAGGTACCAAGCTTACACAGGATGAACTCAAGAAGATTGCTGCCGAGAAGGTCGTGGCATGACTTTCTTCTTGGTCCAGAATAAGTTACTTCTTCGTGATTGTGATCGTGTGTTGTGTCGGTCCGATTTAATAAAGCTTTTATTTAACTCGAGTTTCCTCGGACATAGAAGGCTTAGACGTCGCCAGCCTGATCGCGCATGGCAAGTCACTTAGTTCACGTCAATATTGTAGCAAGCTCACAAACGTACTCGCAAATGATTCTTTCCTTTTTTTATTTGGCATTCTTTGACCCAGTGTACCGGTACTGTCGAATCCGTGTAAACCGGTTGCACAAAATGTTCCTGTGAATAAACCGTCACTTATTCGTGATTCGTGTGTCGTGGATGTAGGCTGTGGAATATGTCAAGAGTGGCATGGTCTTGGGTTTGGGCACAGGTTCTACAGCTGCATTTGCAGTGGCAAAGATTGGCGAGCTTTTGAAGGTTTGTATTTTTGTCTTGATTGTGGCACAGTTTTGTGTATAAGATATGGAGACATCTCTATATAAGATATAGTTTCAGTTTTAGATCGAGCTTGTAGACTTTCTGTTCCATAACAAATGATGTTTACGTGGCATGTGGTTATGCTTTGAACCGAGAATTATCAATTGTAAAGCACTTTTACCTTGTTTGAGCAAAGAAATACTATTATTGAACATTTGTATGTGTTGCAGGAAGGAAAGCTGACGGATATTGTTGGAGTGCCTACCTCAAAGGTTAGATTCGATCGTGTTATATGTGTGGTTTTGCTGCAGAACTTTTTTGGTGCAAAGCATCTTGTTCTGGTGGTTCTCTGTTCGCTTATTTGGAATGGATTGTAGAATACTGTTGAAGGCAGAGAAGAATGTGAACGAATGCAGTTTGTTCTGATATTATGTTGATGTTACAGAGAACGGCAGAACAGGCTGCGTCACTGGGCATCCCTCTATCTGTTTTGGATGATCATCCTAAGGTAATTGTTGCAGCACAGTCCAGATTTGTTCTGAAAGTATCCGAGTGATGATGATAATAATGGGGATGATGGACGACCTTCTTATTTATTTAATTTTTTATATAGAGCTCTCTCTGTTACATAGCTTGTAAACTTTTGGTACTAATTGTTGAGGCCTAGCCGCTAAATGGAGAGGGATCGCTTACGACGAAAGCTGAAAGTGTCCAGGAGCGACAGTTTGGCTGTCTCTTTTCTAAAATTTGTGAAGTTTCATTCACATCAGATTGATCTAGCTATCGATGGAGCTGATGAAGTCGATCCCGATCTCAACCTTGTGAAAGGACGGGGTGGTGCTTTACTTCGTGAGAAGGTAAATTCTTTATACACTACCGCTAGCTGGTGTTTACTTACTGTTCAGACTACTTAAGTGCTCAGTCTAGGAAATAATATTACGTTGAATCTATGGTAGTCAAATTTTGCTGTATTTCACATCATGACACGATACAATGCACAGGAATTGTGATGTTTGTCAGGTGTACAACTACTGTTTCTTCTGTTTGGAACTGTTTTGCTGCTTTGCTGCAATATGAAGCCTAATAGTTTTATGGTTTGTTTCTATGTAGATGGTGGAGGCTGCTTCAGCAAAGTTTGTAGTGATTGTTGATGAAACCAAGGTCAGTGCTATCTCCTGTTTCTCTTTTCACTTCATGGAACAAGAATTTTAGTCCACGAATTGGATGCTTGCGTTCATAAAGAAGGAAGGCCATAAGCCTTGCAGGGCTTTTGACCACGCTCTTTGCCGAAGCACCCCAGGCTACTCTTCATTTGCTTTGCCATTTTGCTTTCTTGAACCTATTCTGAATGTCTACAGGTTTTCTATGTTAACACCATTGTTTGTGTTGTGAATTCCCCAGTTAGTGAAGGGCCTTGGAGGCAGCAAGCTGGCCATGCCTGTGGAGGTTGTCCAGTTTTGCTGGAAGTATAATGCCGAGCGCTTGAAGAACCTTCCAGAACTTGCTGGTTGCGAGGTACATCGATTCACCAATTTTATGTTTCGTACTGCTATTGTAAGCGAGACTGGGTTATTTGGAGTCAATGTTCGAGTATTTCTGGCTTGAGATCGCTCCTAGTTGTAGGCTATGTGTAGGCGTACTGTCTGATCAGCACCACTTGGTGTTCATTTGCTCCTAGTTTGATTAGGTTTCTATTCACCACGTATTAACGAATGGAAATGTACTATTTTTCCAGGTTAAACTTCGCATGGATGGCGACAAGCCCTATGTGACTGACAATTCGAATTACATCATCGACCTTTACTTCGAGGTATTGGATTTTTTGCGCAGTCTCTGAAACTGTCTTCAATATTTTAGTATATTCAGGCTTTCAATGCTTGCTTGTGACTCAAAATTCTGCCCAAATGACTTGATCTTACTGAACATGTAATCTGTTGGGTTTTCTTATTCCTTCCGAATTGTTTTCAGGAGCCTATTGTAGACGCCAACGCTGCAGCTCAGGCTATCTCCGCATTAGAAGGTGTGGTGGACCATGGGCTTTTCTTGAACATGGCCAGCGCTGTTATCATTGCAGGTTCTGATGGTGTTACTGTCCAAACTAAGGACACTTAGATTCTTGAGTGTGTAGGACAAGTTGTTAGTATAAATAATACGTAGACGGCTGAACATATTTATCGAAAATACGGCAGTAATTTGAATTTTCGCAAGGCATTCTACTTTGCTTAATGCTGTCGGTAAAATTTTGGCATTGTTGTTGGTGAACATCTTGAAGTCTACATACTCATCTAATGCCCTCTATGTGTAAAAAGCTACATAATGCTGGGGCTTGTGTTGCTTCAACTCTCAACTGTTCAAGATGTGTTAGAAATTGGTAATCCTTTATCATCGCATCAGTGCCCCGTTATCTTATCTTTGAACATTGTACAAGTAAATGGTTGTGTGATCAGTAACCTGTGACCTAAGACTTTGCTTGTAGACTATTTAAACAATGAGCAGGTAGAGGTCGTTGACCACGTAATGGAATTCCATCAATTCCCGGGTTGTAACTTATCTTCATCTGTAAATCAATTTCTCAGGGTGAGGGCGTATCATTGTTAACTTCGTCATCTGCTGTGTATTTGAACACTGAACATGTGCTTGCATAACACACAAACACTAATCAATGCAACGGGTAAACCCAGGTTGTGTCGAAAAGAAAAAGAAAAAAGAGAGAAGTAAAGTGCTTGTAAGGATTATCAAGAATCTCAGAGAAAAGCGTTGTGTTCTCTGAATTCGCTGAAGAAGGCATTGAGTGTGCTTCATCTGTCTGTGGGCCGATGATAATTGATTTCTCAAGTATGCAATCACAACATCCTTTTCCGCCACTGCCTGTCACGCCTGGGCCTTGACCTCTACCATCTCTTTTGCGTGGATCACACCCACATGATTTTGTCAGGTTACATGGAGAGCTTGTTGTCACTTGATTTTGCTGATTTTCAAGAAGAAAATCATTTCGGATTAGTTCTTTATCGAAGTTGACAGTAAAGCCTTTATTCTACACAATCTTAGACAAAAACTCTCTTTTTGGTTCGTCTTTTTAGTCATGGTAAGACATGTTTATGTTCACTTCAGAACCATGTTATATCACAATGTTTTGTTTTACGATTAGAAGGACCTTGTCAGTGCGCAGTACATCAACTTTGATATTGCCCTTATTTACTCCGTCTTCGTCTGTTGCAATCGTCTCTGCTCTTCCTCCAGTCGCGCCTCGAAAGTTTCCTCTTGGTTCCTAAGCTGAGCGTCGTGCTGTGATGTCATTGGAATCAATTGTGTGGAGTTAGTTTTCTCTTCAAAACTACCTAGACGCTCACCCCTTCACATCTCAGACCGCAGACCACGACAATTAAAAATTATGCTGCTAAAATGCTAAGGGGGGGCATAGAATCTTTGCTTTTATTCGCTCAGCATTAAGGACGACAAAGAGATGAAGAGAGCAACTTGTCTTATTTTTTTGTGCGAAGCAGATAGATAGAATGCAAACCTGGTTTTGAAGGTCCATAATTAAACGAGTTTGAGTCTGCATTTCTGTACGCAACGACGCCATTTTCTTCCCTGCTTCCTCGAGCCCCATTTTGGCTTCCACTTTGCGCTAGGGTTAATTTAGGCAACGCCATGCACAGTCGTAAGATACTGATTGAATGTGAAGATGGCATTCTAGCAGATCTATTTCAGATCTATTGTTGATTACGATTCTAACAGACTTGACTAATATGACATGTGATACTGTTCAATCATTTCATTTCCGGGAAGTTGGAAACAAGAACAGTGACTTCACAAAGAATATGTTCAACTGACAAACACTGTCTGATTGGTTGGATGACGACCTAAGACCTTTGCTTCCCTCCTGAGAAATGCAACATAAAATCCATCACAATAGTCTCTGAAACTTGGCGATCCAAGTCAAAGTGGACTTTCCAGAAATGAGTATACCAGAAGTAAAGTGTTGCTCAGTTCAGAGAATTTTGACTTGTTGTCCTTCAAATCTTTTTCGATCTCAAGTTTATCTGCAATTACTGCTTCCACTTTGGCCTTCAATTCATTTTTGTGCTGTCCTATGATTTTCTCCTTCTCGCTCTGAAGCATTTCCACCACCAATTCGATCCGTTCGTCTCGTTCCTTGGTGAACCTGATATAGTCCATGCCACCGTCGGAGCAAACTCTAGACATCTTTCTGACATGAACGTTGCCAGACATACTACATTGTATCACGTTTTACCATATCGGCTCAACGTTTCCGGAAGGATTGTGCTTACAAAATAGCAGCGCTGTGCAAACGATTTGTGATATCATGTTTTGAACTGAGGCTGGGAGTAAATCTCACGTACTTGGAGCGCATCTCTACCTCTTTGCCTTTCATTCCCTCATTGACAAGAACTTTGATCCTTTGTTGAAATTCGTGAGATGTTGCAACCATTTGGAATTTCCGGTGCTCGATATGGCGGTCCTTATACTTTGCTATTTCCTCGACATATTTCATTTGTTTCCTCAATGCCTCCTCTCTGCATCATCAATCCATAAACTACCGTGTTGCACATTCCGCTAGTTTAGATTACTATACTGATCGTTCAGATTGAAACTGTTACTGTTGGCACTAAAGAACGTACAACACACCTTTCGGCAGTCTCTTTCTGAAGACGAGAAAGACACTTCTGGAAATGTTCATTGTCCTCTCGACGTCCTGCCTGTGACCGTTCAAGTTCGGTTGTTATCTCGGTGACTACTCGCATACGCTGATCAATAGCTTGTTGCTCCAACCTGGCACCCCTCTCACAGCACACTGTCCATCAGTCCCCCAGTGTTGCAGGTGCTCTATGGTCATAGGCTATGAACGCATCTTTCTTTAGAGTATCCGAATCTGTTAAACAAAAAAGCAATACAAAACTGACATACTTTACTACTAATTCAGCCATTCGAGCATGAGCGGCAAGGCTCTCGATGTTCAAGATCTTATCTCCCTCCTGCTCCGAAGTTTCACACGATCAACAGAATTAGGCATAAGATGGCATGTGGGTTAGCTTAAATGTTTTTAGGATTGCCTATGCATGTGATGAGAAGACATGGAGCATGATGTAGACGTATAGCGTGTTTCGTAATTTGTAAAGTTGTGCACTATGAGTATTTCTTAGTTGAATTCCTGCAAGCCAATCATGTCATAAATTAAACGATCTGACCAGTAATAATTTGCAGACTTGGGATACATTCGTAAGGCGTAAAAGAAGAAACCTGTCGCATGCTGTCTCGCAATACGCACAGTTGGCGTCTATGCTCCAGGTTCTGGGCAGCTAATTGACTTTGCATATGCTCTGCGTGTCGTGCCTCTACCCTTGCAAGTTCTTGCCTGTGCCTCTGGAATAATCTCGATCATACGAGCGTGTAAGAGCAATGGTCTGCTTCTCTAGAATTGGTGGTTTCGGCGTAATGTCATATATATCAGCAAAGTTCCAGATAGATGGTGGCATTTGCAACGCCAGGAAAGTGAGTGAGAATTGAGAGGAAGAGACATTTGGTGAGCATACGTCATTGATATTATCGAGGTGCGGCTCCAGACCTCGGATTGCAGTCTCCTTTAGCTCCTTAATTTTCTTTTCTTGCCAATCTTCCTGTCTGCTCTTTTCCCCAACAGTCCAGAGCTCCTTGGCCTGCGTTTTAGTGTTAATGGTGAGAAGGATTGTGCGCTCCAATGTGGACAATCATCTGTTCAGTTGGATCTTAAAGAGTTATAGACGACCAAATAAGTAAATCTGTTGAGGCCTTGTTCTGGTCTTTACATTCTTCATCTTGTGACACCACTGCTCATATAGCTCCTTCACTTCCTCTTCAAACTGCAATAACGTCAACATAATTTAAGCCGGCAAAACGCAGATGTTTTGTTACCGTAACTCATCAGAACAGATAAATCTTTCACCCGGAAGTTGTTTACCTTGGACTCGGCAGCACAGAGAATAGCAGCGAGGTTACAACAGTTCTGAGAAAGCTCTTTGTCAACTAATATCTTCTCGTTCACAGATCGATGGTGCTGGATTATGACTTTGTATTCTGCCGCTTGATCCTTCAGCTGCTTGTGGTACTTCACTCTTTCCCTAGATTGACAGTTCTTTGCATCTGAAGTCAAGGAATCCTAAGATTTTTATGATGGTGTTCACACATTCTTTGTTTAGTTACTGTTATGTTAGGAAACTTACATCTGCATATGTTCATCCCTGACACGATTTAGGTTCTTATTTTCGACTCTTAACTCAGAAATTTCGGCCTCCTGTTGAGCTATCCTGTCCTTCAGCTCCTGAACCTTCCTCCTGACACCGTCGAAGACCGTGGTGGCGGCAATCGCAGGATTGGAATTAGTGGTTCTGGATTCTGTTGTTGAGTGGAAATTAGAGTATGCCATTCGTGAGGAGCTTATGAGTGACACTGCTTCCTCTGCATGGTCCAAAACCGCTCGCGGTGAACTGCTGTCTTTTAGATTGAAATAACATTCTCCTCTTGGCTTTGATCCTTTCTCTGAGGTTAACTTAAATTTCCATTGAAGGTTGGACTCCTCTGCTTGACCATGGTATGATGAAATGCCGCATGGCTTCTCTGTTATCAGTGATGTATTATCGTATTCCTCAGTTTTACTGGCATTCAAAATTGAAATAGAGGCTTTGACTTCCGCTGGGCCTGCTCTCTCATATGCACGCTGTGTGTACATGCACCCGTTATCATAGGCACCGATTGACTCTAATTTCATATCATCTTGATTCTTATTATTGCTGTAATCGATGTACTTTCCTTGTGCACTCTCAGATGCGGTAGACGGGACTTCATAATGGATGAACAATAGTTGAGGTGTCAACCCTTTCTCTGAGCTTAGGGCATGATTTCTTTTCTCTATTTGCGGAAGGGAAACGTCTAATTCAGCTTCGCCCTCCTTGCGGTTCTTTTTTTGCGACGTTCCTGCATTCGGTACATCGGAGAATTGCCGCTGCTGTCTCTGCGTTTAATTTGTTGATAAAAGCTGCTGCGTCCTGGTGTGTTGAGATGTTTTTTGTATCGCTTGCACTGTACGCCTATTTGCTTGTGCTGGAAGGACAATTACTGTCTCATCTTTTCCAGAGGTCAGTTGGCTTGACCTATCGGCATCCTCGTGTTGAGCAGAAGTTCCTACATTGTTAACATTTTCTTGTCCTTTGACTTTCTCCTTTCTGTCGTGACAGAGAGTGATGCGCAGCACTTCATTTTCTTCCTCTAATCCTTCGTTCCAGTTCTCATTTGATACCATATCATCCTGTAGTCTTTTACTTTCGTCTCCTGGTTCTATACATTCAACCGATTCATGAGCTGTTGCTGTCCCGTCCACTGCAAGATCACCTTGCTCTGATCTGGACCACCGCGATTCCCCAAATTTATCCATTAATGAAGACAAACATCCCTGTGAAGCGTCTCGCTGCTCGCCAAACGAACAACCTTCGGTTTCGGCTTGGGTGGTGGTGCTCTGAAACGACCACTCTGACTTGGATGGAGATTTCTTAGCACATATCCATGCAATGGAGTTAGAAAAGCACTGCGGCACGTTTGCCCACCTTCTGCGAGAATTCTCTTCCTTGCCCTCTTCAGTGGATGCAACACTGACGGAACCATAGCCGAGTCTGTACAATGGCAGATAGCTACTCCAGCACTCAGCATCCGACCCCATCAATCTTCCCTTCTGATTAATCTCCTCCTGCAGTGTTACCTCGTGATCACAACTGGAGGGCATCTCACATGTCATGGACGTATCATTTCTCCCCTTCCTTTTTACAGCTCTTTGTGCTCGACGTCGTCTACTGATGGGTTCCTCTGTCTTTTTTTGGAATCACTATCGCTACACTTAGAATCTGATCTGGCAAGGGGTGATGGATATGATGACTTGATTGTTCCATTTTCAGGCTCAGGAACACTAAAAGAAGGGTTCGAGGACTCAATCGACATACTTTCCCCCTTTACAGCCTGATCTCTTTCGGGGAGAATTAGCTCCTCTATCATGCTCAAACTTTCCTTCATTTCTCTCATCCTTAGCCCAAACTCGCAACTTTTGTTATCACGGGATGGAATCTGTGGTGAATCTGGGCTACTGCCGGGAAAAATTTCCTTGTGAGCAAACGGTGAGCATGTAATTGTAAGGTCGTCTCTAGAGTTCACTTTAAACTCGCAAGATCTGTGCCGCTGAAAGATGCTACTCTTTTTCTTTGTTGGGTGTGCATGTGGTTTTGTTTCTTCATCGGCTGCCCCTGCTGCTGTGCTCGTTCGTTGCTTCTGCCAGAGTGGCAACGTCGCCTGAAATTTTCTATCGTTGTTAGTGAATAACTTCGATACGTAGGTACGCAAGACCACACCAAAGAACATCAAAACATAGAAGCCAGTTCGGTTCGATACTGATGTCACATGTGGATGCAATGATCTTCTGATTCAACCTCTTATCCCCTTGCCAAAAGCAGGGGTAGATAAATCATTAAAATGGATGGAGTTGATGAAACAGTTTTTGAAGCACTGGAACCTGAGAATTGAGTATCTGAGGACAGACCTGCCTGGTTTGAGCCTCAGGGATATCACGATGCAGGAAGCGAACAAAGCTGCTTTTAGAAGAGTTCCCCACTCCACTGGCAAGCGAGGGGATTGCTGCGTTGGAATCTCGCGCAGCTCCACCACTGTTGACTTTGAAAGAAGGGGTGGCCTTGATTTGGATCGCACGGCGTGAAGATGACTCGGCCGGAACAGTCATTTTGAATTGCAGAGATTCGCCAGACCGTCGCTGCGGTAGATGCGAGCTGCTGTAGCCTGCTTTCTCGGATGAGAGACGGGGTGAATTAGATTCCAGTAAGTGGTCTTCCACCCCAGTATTGATTGTGGAGATTGTTGCAGATTTCCTTTAACTCAAATTATCCGGCGCTGCGTATGATCGTGATATTGTAGGTTAATTAAGTGTCAACGAGACGAGAGAGCGTTGCATTACTTCCGACCGATGCCCAAAATATCCTGCGTTTAAACGGCTCTGCAAATCCACGCATTCCTCTCGAACATGAGTTGTACAATGGGTTCCAAATGCTATTCAATTCAGCCGGCTACTCCTTCATCAATCTAAATTTGATAATCCTTGAGCACGGACATGCTATTGTCGAAAGTTTTCACATGTCTACGCAAGGGTTCAGCTCGATCAAAGCGAACTTGCCAGATTTGCTTCACACTCCAGCAGAAGGCACAACAATGGCGTGTGCACCCCCTCTCCTTAGAGTAGAGATGAACCTCTTGGAGCTAACCATGATGAAGCTCGACTGTCAGCCAAAACCAGAAAAATATCGCAGGTCCGTTGCTAACTCATCAGATGATGAGCAGGAAAGACTCGAGATAACACCGGAGAACTTCCGCTTGTCCTCAACTCTGCTAATCGGGTAAATAGAATCTCCTCACTCTCCTTGCCATTCTCACGACCGATGTGCGGGGAAATCGAGAGTGTTTACAGCTGTAATTGAGCTGTAAATGCACTGGTGTCTGGATTGAGTTTATGAGGGTAATCACGCGTAACTCTCTGAGCATCTGAAACCTGGAATTGTAACGGCGATGGTGCGACGCAGATGTAACCATACTAGTGAAGGAGGTGCCACAACCGAAGGTTTCGGAGAGAAGTTGGGCGTAACCGTCAACGGATTCCCTGCTTCTACGAAAGTCCTACCAACGGGAACTTCGTCACTCTTCCGTCGAGATTCGTTATAGGATCGGACAACGAACGAGAAGACTTTTTTCGTTCGCTTTTCGATGCAAGCAGCTCCACAGAAGTCCCCATTTCTCAGTTGGTGGGATTGCTTAAACATTTACGCATGTGTGTATATATATTGGTAATTGTGGGTGAATTATTGCTGTTAAAAACTATGCTAGCTTTTTTACACTTTTAATACATTTCTAGTCCTTATAACCTTATTTTCTGAATTATTTATTTGTCTTCTAATATTTTAACACGAGAATTTATTCCTTCTGCTTTATTTTGCCAATATGAATGAAATAATTCAGTTATTACTGCTCAACATGTAAAACCATTTTCTTTAATTTCAATAAATGATTTAAATTACTATATGATAAAATAAGTATATACATACCAAAGTTTACATCACGACAAAAAAATTGATAAAGAATTCATCACAGTACAGCAAAGAATTCAGACCCTCTTGGCTCCTGTGGAGGAACACTTAACCTCTTTTCATGCTGTCCAACACGTTCGAGCGGAAACCAAAGATGAAACCCACAATTTATTGTCACTTAAAGTAAATGTATACTCAGATGGTGTTGTTAAGTCCATGTCTTGAGCAACAGCTTGTGGCTCCTGAAGCAAACTGTAATACCGAGTACAAGTTATCAGAAATGAACGTTCCTTCTTTTCAACTAATGCTTGATTGAGTCAAATTGGCTGACTATGCAGTGCCGATTCATATGAATAACGATAAAATCTTGTCACTCACAATCACGAATTTGCCACAAGTCCTATGTCTGCAAGGAGTTGCTCAGTGCAGGGACGAACTCCTGCTGCAGTGCATATCAGGGAATCTTCTCCAAGGAGTTTTCTCATCATTTTAGATGGGTCTCTGGCACCTCCATGCATAAGGAAACCTCGCCGCAGACTATCTCCAGTTGCAAGATTTAGGGGATCCTCTATACAGTGCTTTTGCCATATGCTAGCTGCGAAGCATCTAGCATACAAGTAGCTGTAATAACCTGCACAAGAAACCAGACCACGTTGGTGACGTGTCTCAATGCTGGTGACGTGTCTAAATGTCATGCCTCCTTGAAGCTATCAACCATAGATCCATAACTTCAAATAACTTCAAGCTATTAAAACGTGTAGACCAAGTTAATTTCTGATCCTGGATGTATTACGAATGTCCCGTTCAATGCATAATTATTGCACACAAATGTTGCTTAATCTATTGACGAACAATACAGTGTTATTTAAAAAAAAAATCAGGACAGTAAAGCATGCAGCACCAAAATCATTTCACCATCTTACCAGCGCCATAACTGACAAGATGGTTAAACCGAGTATGCCAATGAGTGCCTTCCACATGTCTCACTCCAGTGTACTTCAGCTTCAAATCTGCTATAACTGCAGTGGTATCCTTGGCTGGAAGCGGTTGTTTTCCAAATAAAGTCATATCAATAAGAGCATACAGCACCTGCAAGCCACGACAAGTTCATTTCGTTGTGACTCAAAAACGAACAAAAAACTAGAGATTAGTGGATACTACTCATGCCAGTAAACGTGTTTAATGACTAGGAGCAACAGTACAGATATACCAAGAGCTTTACAGTAAAAGGAAATTCATTTAACCTGGCGTTGAATCTCAGTAGCAGAAAGCATTCTCTTGGCCTCATTCATGGATGCAACCATCTTCTCAGGAATGGTCTCTCCTGTAAGATAATGTCTTCCAAATTGACGGAGTAACCGATAGTCCCAAGCATAGTGCCTAACTCCATACGTTCAAATGCCAAGAAACATTGAGAATCATGTACCCCAGAATGGCTGGTAGATCACACCAGACAATAAATACTAATAATACTACTAATAATATTCAATAAGAATAGACTACAACAATCTCTTTTGTGATATCATGAACTTCCAAAGATAGCCTCTGCAACAAATGCCACATGCACATTCACTTGCTATGGAGAGAAAAACAAGGGTGTTTGACTAGGATATAACTTACTCGAACAATTGAGATGGTGTCTCTGAGAAATCAAGCACCGTTCGCGTGCCAGAAAAGTGCTGAAATTCCTGTAAAAATACCAGCACAGCAGTTTGAATATCTTTGACAAATAATAATCTCAAGTCCTCTGACGAACTTCAAACAATAAAACACCAAAAATCAGAAGCATATTAGTATAGATACTGTGTTGAAGTAATAACAAAAGAATGTTCAAATCATTTGTTCACAACATTGCAGAGATCCAAAAGAAAAAAAACTTCTGCACTTCATTCTCGTGTAGTCATGAACTTGGCCCAACACGGAAAGACGTTAATTACTTCAATTCCACGACCAAAACTTTCTACAAAAATCAAAAGCCACGAATGAACACATACTGTACGAGAAAGTAACGAGTGTAATGCGTGCCCAAACTCGTGGAACAATGTTTCGACCTCCCAGTGATTCAAAATAGGAGGTGTGTTTCCATCAGGAGTGGCAAAATTGCATGCTAAAGCTACCACCTGCATCCGAAAGTCAATCAGGATTTTCTTGAAACCATTGTTAAACAATGCAAATCCCCGTTCACACTTGTGAAGATTCTTAACCACAAAATAAGAACAAGATGCTGTTGATAAAAGTAATTAAGAGCGTGAAGATACCGTTTGCTGAGAAAGTTTCGTCGTGCTTAAGATATAGGATCTAATATTAATAATACAAACCAAATTAGGACTTAAACCAACACATCACTTCATCAGTCTAGAGCGATAAAACTTACATCCTATACAAACAAACACATGTGTAAATCCTGTAGCAATCCTAGATGAGCTCAAAAGAAGAAAGTAATTAGTCAAATGGAATAGTGAGCGTACTGGAAGCTGATAGTCGGATTCGGATATCCTTCGACAACCTTTTAGGGTAAAATGCGCACAGCCGGGAAATTTGCCGGGTCGTGCATAAAGATCCAAGTACAAATGTCCAAGTTCACCCTGTGAAATTCGATAAAAAGTTGTGCAACTAGGAGAGTTATACGTCTGAAAACCCTTCAAAAATAATAATTACGGAGTGCCCATGTAGTGTAGTAACCCTTACTCTAAAGAAGGGTATCTGTGGAATTCACTGTTTATCAAGTGACAGAATGATATAAAACCACGTACTGAAATACATGTTTTGTCAGCAAATAGGTTATCTAATATATCACAAAACCCATGAAGAAAGTCTATCACGCTTACTGTTATAATCAGTTGCAGTTCTTTACATGTACTAGTAGCTATGCCCCAGAAAGACAGCTCAGGTGATAAAGACATCAAACGAAATACCTCAGAGGGATGACGCAGACACATCTTTTGTACCGCTGGATGCCATGCTTCTCCAGGAGCTAATGGTACTTGCTCAAACGTAGCCCCAAATAAAGTCTGGCAAATTATCCTGAGGGCTTCAATACATTGTCCTACTGGAAAGTAAGATGCCACAACCTGCTTCACCGACAAATTGTGTCAGATGAAGCATGAGGCTATGAAGCAACGTTTCTGGAGCAAAGATAGAACGAAAGAGGTCAGAGTTAAAAAGTCACAAAACTCACCCCTGCGTTCAAGTCATAGGTTCGAGCTTTCAACAGACCAGCATAGTAAGATTCATCCCAAGCATTTATTGAAGTGCTGCTGCAGGACGTATCCACTTGTTTTGAAAACTCCGCGAGTGTTTTCATTTCCTGAGACCAATTTGAAGACGATCAACGTCAGAATCCTGGGTAACGATCTAAAGCAATGCTTCGAGCAATGAACAGTTCAATATTTCATCAGACATGCTGTAAAAGTACAACTGTCACAATCCAGTATCCATTCCATCCTTACTTAATGCTTCTCCAAATAAATGCTTTAAAATATAAGGTTCTTATTCCTATGAGTATCAAAATTGTATCATTCAGAAAATAATGTAAACTTAACCTCATCTGCCTTGCCTCGAATACGAATGCTGATGTCTTCAAGGAAAGAAACAACAGCGTTCGGTGACTCTGCCATGGTAGGGGCAGTTGCAAACTCCGCATAAGAGTTGTAGCCGAGGAGCTAGGTTACCACCCCAATCAATCCATGTTTGTATGTATGTCAGATGCAATGTATCGCTTGGACTGAGGTATAACCAAATAAAATAATTATGTACTACTTCAAATTGTAAGATAATTTTGTGACAAGTACTATACAACTACGTCTTGATGTTCCAAACTTTGAACCTTCCTATGACAGTTCACCATATGGCCCGATGGAAGATTAGTAACAGATCTAACCTGAGCAAGTTCGTGACGTGCACCAATGAGGTGATCCAGCACTCGCAGATTAGCTTTCGGTACGCAGTGACCAACCATATACACCCGCCGTCTTACCTGAAGATAAAAACGACAATAATAATATATTTATTAGTCTCACTCATTCTAAAAATTCTTCTACAATTACCTTTAGTAACTGAAAAGAAGTACTGAGTCGAGATATACCTCAGAGTCTGCCACATATTTGAGTACAGAGGAGAGAACAGCAGGTTCAGTAACCACACGCAAACCCATATTACTGTCATCCGCTGCCACAAACTTTGAACGACGAGACCAGCCTACTCGACCATCTTTTTCCATCCATATGGGCTTCATCATATGTTGGATACTTTTTGGTATCACGGATGCTGGGAAAATATCCAGCTGACCTTGATCCCTCATCATGTTCTCCCCAAACCTAACAAAATAACAGAATGTAATTTTTAACAACAGATATCCAATTGAAGATAAGTAAACATTGCACAAGAACGCGACTAAGAGTACAAACATTAGAAGTAGACCTTGCGGTTGAAGTTAGATAACAGCACTATCGTAACGAAGTCAATAAGCCCAAGCACCTGAACGCACTTACTCTCTGCCTAGTCTCGTGATTTCAAGATTCAGATCATTCACTCGCTTCAATTTGTCTGCAAGTCCAAAGTTAACAACAGTTAAACCTGAATCACAGCTGATGAGGTGGATACCAAGAAAGAATAAAAGAAGATATACTTTAATTGAAATAGTTGGGTGTTGATATCGATAATATGCTCTGCTTATAAAGCCAATGTCCGATACAATTAAAGCATACGCAGGTATCTATGTAAAAATTCCGATACATTGACCTTAGCCTCAGACCTCGTTCTGGCATACAGGAACCAGTCATCTAACTATTTCCACAGCATTGAGACCTTGATCCAAGTGGAAATCCAAGTAGGCTGCACAAAAAATATTAAATTTTTTATTGCTTCATGTTCCATTCGCCCTCAAAGAAGGGACAACCTACCAGAAGGAAGATGTATTCCACCCCTCTCAAAATCCATACGGAGAGTTTTAGCAGCCCTTCTTGCTTCTTCAGTGGTAAGAATATCAGGAGACTCTTCAACTCCAACAATCGCCTTGTATAGAACCGGATGAGAATTCAAATACTGACACAAAGCAACCAACAACCATGTAAATAACACGTTCAAAATTGAAGAATACGTTGAGAAGGGGAAAAAAGAATAAAACCCCATCTGAAGTCTCGAACACAAAAACCCAGTTTGCACTCATCATCACAAAAATCACAGTCTATAAACGCATGGATGTCATTCACAAAGCGTCAAATTTATGGGTGATACCTACACAGTCTTGCACACAATGATGATAACCAGGCCTTACCTGTAAGTATTCATAGACTTTCATTGAGGCGTGGTTGGATTCTTCCACATATTCCCTGCAACAAACAACGATGAAGTCATGAATGGACACAGTACTTTCAGTGAGAATCTTCTTAGTGATTGTGTGACTAAAACTTCGAGAACACAAACTTGTAGCCTTAGAACATCAGAAGACCCAAATAGCTAAGAAGTCTATAAACTTCAAGTACTGCAAAGCTTAATAACTATTGAAAAAAGGTTTTACTTCAAAGTTTAATGCAAGAGTATAGTTAGATAGAGGAATATGTTCGCAGCAAATAATACATACTTTTATGTAAATCATCTAATGTGGTAAGTATCAAACAAAAAAAAATAAAAAATAAACTTCAGGAGGATGTAATGAAGGGATGCAAGAGGTACACCTTACTTGTCAGGGTGCGTGTTCCGGCATAGTTCAGCTGCATCCACAACTGAGCAAACCTAACCCATTTCACACAAATTCTTTGTCAATCCTAGAATTGACGAAGGGAAACAAGTTGCATTTTTGACATCATATTTTCGTATATGCAGCAGGTACTCAAGACAGTCTAAGTTCTCTAATCAAATGACAAGTAACAGTTTAAGCTTGCAGGTGTGCGGTGCCTCATAGGTCAGTATTCTTTACCGTGTCCGATATATCGTCCATAGCACGAATGACGCCCATCGACGGAGGCATATCTTTGATGTTCCGGATTATAATCTCTGATCTACACACCCACGCTCGACTCAGGTCACCAAAAAACTTGACAGATTGTGAACATAGCCTTCGCAGCCTAGAAATGAGGTGAGCTGCAAGTGTCCATACTCACGTAGCTTGTGTCCGTATACTACAGACCGAGTGCTCAAGACCCACCTCCGATACCCCACAAAACAAAACACACACAATGGTCTATCCGTATTAAGAGGTAAAAACGCATTCTTTGGTCAAGTATGATTGTATTTGTAGTAGTTTCTACAAATTGAAAACACCTAGAGCTATGAGATCAACATTATAACCATCACAATTTTCTATCAGACATCTTTCCAGCATCAAAATTCCCTAATGAGACATCATCAATCAGCGCCTTACTTGTCAATTGCATCTTGAGCGAAGATACGGAATCCTTTGGCAGTCTTCAGGATTTCATATCCATAAAGCCCAAGCATCTCTTTCCTCAAATTCGGAGGCTTCATGCTTGGTTTATACTCCTGAGGGAGAATCTGCTTCTTTTTCTCGGTCGAATGAGCAGCTTCTGATTCAACCTTGGACCCAGTAGCTACAGGAACTGAACCTGCCTTCGAAACCAGGGTTCTAGATACAACCTGAGGCATATGTGCGGAACCTTCCCTCGCAGTACACGAGCATGAAGTTGGGTACCACTGGCATGACCAGGCAATTTTAAAGAGCTGGTCCCTCTCCCCAAAGTTGGAAGATGCGGTACTAAGCAATCCCTTCGCTGCTCGACGAGACTTCATGGTTCCTGTAGTATATAGGCTCAGAGATGTTTTCAAGTGATTTTCATCTCACGATCACTTTACTACCACACAAGGCTATCGCACTTGTCAATCTGAGTGTCAGTGGAATAGCTCTATCTGCGTACGATCAACCAAACAAATCTAATCAGCAAAATACATCACATAGTCCAATTAACAATTCGCCATGAGTTAGGTTGCTGGTGGACTTGAAACATATTACTCATGTGATAACATCATTACATGTGGTAATGTATCATTTTCACAACGAAACTTGGCTTTCTTGCAAAGCTTAAATACATCCAGCCTCGTCAATTTTACGCATACTCCTGGAAATCAGTCAACAAATGCAGGAATATACATTGACATGGAGGACAAATAATATATCCAAAACCCTAACCCTACTCCAAAAATGAAACATGTGGTTCACAGGCCGGAAACTACGAGATATCCTGATTAAACTGCTATTTGTGTCAAAAAACTTCCCGAAGATGAGAAGAAGATCCACGCAGCAATTGTTGGTAACAACCAATATCCGCTCAAAAACTCAATTGGACTCACTCCGAAGCTAAATTCAAATTCACTGAAATCGAAACATCTGAGCAATCTCGCAGAACCATCTCAACCATCAATCCTCGTAGGCTACAAAATGCACCTTCACTACAGCGCGACTTCAAATCTCTCTTCCCCAAACCGCTTCAAACCCACCATTTTAACCCATCATATAAATCACGTCACGCATCACATTCGAGGAAAACAAAACAATAAAACACAAGATTTAAAAAAGGAAAAATAAGTTGCGCACTCGACTGAGATTTGTTAGAAACTCTTCTCCAAGTTCAACACTACATTTCCTCAATCCTGCGATGAACCGTACCGGCATTACCACACGTGACAACACTCTCCAAGCCAGCGTATCAAATCGACGCACTGTCGTAATCCACCGACGCCTGCATCACCTGTTTTCGGTGACCGCGCATTGAAGCTCTTCTCTCTATTCAAAGGCTGTGGAGACGTCACCAAGCCATTCCGCTGAGTCAAATCCGCCGCAAACGCATTACACAACACTAAATTCCAAAACCCCACGAAGCCGACGACCTCCTTTCCGTTAGCACCGTCGCCATAACGTCCGCATCCATGTCTGTCTTCACGTCGCAGCGGTCAAGAGAGGGGCACGGGCACGGGCACGGGCACTCGAGACCTCCGGATTTTGAATGAATGAACGTTTCTTCATCATATCTGCATCCACTTTCAAAACTTTATTCATCGCAAGAGGATGTACAGTAGTGAAATGCGGTACGAAATGTGCGTTCACGTCCCGAATTGCTCAAGTCCAGCACGTGAAGGCGGTCATTAGTCACCATGTTGATACATTTGCAATGTTGTTCTACATTAAGACGTCTTGTACAAGTGCAATACAATTGATCATGTTTTCTGATTTACAAGGTATGTGCCGTAGATGCATGTATCAAATGGCAAGCATAATATCCTCCACCCTGCTGAGTTTCATGTACTGTGTGTTGTGCCATGAATGTATTATGTTGTATTGTGATCTGTTGTTTGAGATCAATTTTCGTTGTAACCAAATGTGCCGCACATTGGCTGATCCTGTGCCGCACCTCTGCTGCACTTGCGCACCGTTGCTGTAGGGACATTCAAATGGATCTCTTTGGATTCGTATGCCAGGTCTGTCTCCATTTATCTCTGATCGTTACTCAAGAAAGAATTGAACATGAAACTGGGTTCCATAAGAGGAGCAAACCATTTGAGCTTCACTGTAAGTGATCACTTTTTCCGAATTCCAAGCCTATGCCGGAGATGAATGCAGATAAGGCCCGACAGCCGCTGAATGAGGTGTGAATGAGCTCTTGCTGTTCGCAGACTTCAAAACTTAAATAGAGAAAATTGTTAGAACCTCTACAGCTAGTTCGCCCGAGTTTAGAGGTCTAATTCAAACGATGTAGCATATGACTGTAGTTGGCACAAATTTTGATCTGAGAAAATAACTTTATTACAATTTCGGAGAGCAACATCATTCCGAGGAAATTCAGATGGACACCATCGAAAACCTGGATTGAGGTCCGAATGAAAAAATTCCGGCATGATTACAAAATGTGAAGAAATAGTGTGCAGGCAGAAAGTCCCCCGGCCCACTTTGAGTAGATAGTAATACAAATTATCGCCGTAAAAACTCCCTTGAAGGGCTTTCGGCTACTTCACAGCGATTATAAGAAACCGCCCACAAGCGACTCACAAGAAACCCTCTTAACGATGCTGGAGATCATATACCAAACCACTTCTACCTGCTGCGTACTCAAGTGTAATAGTTCTCTACAACTCCAGTGAGCAAGCCACTTCTGAAACAAATAGGTGGAAACACACAGTTTATGCAGTCTATGCAACGATTGTTGATTACCAAGGCCGTGTTTTGGCAATTAGGCCTAATTGATACTTCATGATAGAAACAAAAGAGCGACTACAATGAGTGGCTCAATTAAAACTATTAGTAGTCAAACAGGTTTTTACCTAGGTTTATCATTGCAGAATTCACGAGGACTGGACTGTGGATTCTTTAATGGCTTGAGGTAGCAGTCTCTTGGGCTGGAGCAGGTGGTGATTGAACATTCGAATGAAGGACTGCAGTTACCTCTTCCGCTCCAAGTTTGAGAGCAGGAGCGGGCATGTTTTTGCTCGAAATGTGTGAAGCACAAAGCGATACACACCACACAATGAAAAGTGACACCATGTTTCCCAAACTTGTAGTTCCCTATAACAGAAAAAAGAAATTAATCGTCAAGAGAGACATTTGTAACCATGCACAAGCAGTATCAAACAAAGCCATGCGAGGATGTATGGAAGCACGTATCAAAAAAAATTAAGATCCTCAGTTCGTGAATCATAATAGGAGACAACCAACACCAGCAGGTGCTACATATTTCTGGAATCGAAAAACTCACCTGGGGTTGGCTGACTGGTCGATCTGCAGGTGAATCAGTGGTGTCATCAACAAAGCCACGAGCCACAGTCTCCGACAACATATTTAAATTAGCCCGACTTGCATCCTGTGCAAATTGTGCAACGTGTTGGACGACTCCTGTAATATACTCCGCCGAGTCTGCAGCTCTGCTACTCTCGTCGAGCACTATTTGAGCCACGCTCTGCGACACAGAGCCTCGTGCCTCCCCATTGTCACTTAACATAATATCTTCAGCAACATGGTGAAGTTTAGCAGCCACCTCATCAAGGTCTGGATGATTGTAACTTGACTTGGATGCCACCTCACTCTCATTTCCAGCTGTATCCAGAGATTGCTCCTTCTCACCATTCGCAGTTCCAAGTGATGTAACAGATAGTGGAGTGACCACTTCATCAGAAATCATGCCACCGTCTGAATCAACGCTTGGTTCACCCCTCAATATTTTGTTAGTGGTAGGAGCCTCACTAAAATCGTTTAAGTTGATTTCTCTCAAAATGGATTCAACTTCTTTTGAATGGGGAACTCCAAGAGCATCAGCAAGTAGCAGTGACGGCTCAACTTCAACATATTCTTCTGGAACATGGATGACTGCTGACTTGACTTCATCGTCTGTCATCTCGGTCTGAAGCAAACGGGATACATCTTTAGGGGCCACATCTGTTCCATCATCGTCAACTGATTCAATACTGGGTAACTCCTTCCTCTCGACTCCAATGCTACTGGGCACAATAGAAGCCTTTGTTGTAGGATGTTCAACCTCCTCAGCCAAAGGATGCTCATCACATGGCTCAGCGAACTCATCAGACCGGTCCTTAGAGGCAAGCACAACAGGACTCCTCAAAATTTCCTCCGGACTGGGGATTACTGAAGATTCTGGGAACTCCTCAGATTGGGTATCAGGTCTCTCTTCATTGATAAAATCCTTCCCCTCAGCAACACTCTTTGCATCCTTCGCATTTACCTCAGCATCTACTAAAACTGATTTTTCGCTTGGAGGGTCTGCATCACTCTCTTGTGGAAGCTCCTCCTCGTGCGAGCTTCTGTCAGTTTGGACAATTTCCTCTTCTGCTAGCCCTGAGTTCTGATGATGTCTTTCTGAAGACACATCGTCTGCCTCCTCCAGAAAATCTGCAGACGAGGCAACCTGTGAAGATACTTGAGAATATTCAGCATCGACGATTTCTTTTACATCAGCTGCCATATCCAAACCATTTTGTTTAGGAGAATCATCAGAGATACCCTCGTGCTCGAGAGTTGACAATAAGTATTCATTGAGATCAAAGATGTCCTCTTCAACAGGCAAGGGAGCAAAAGTGGCATTGATATTTTCGTCATCCATTTCTGGCGCAGACACTTCAGATTTCACTTCCTCAGTTATGCTAATAGCATCATCAGGAACAGTACGGAATTCTGTACTGGCCAAGTCTTCATCGGTTTTCATATTGGTGGCTGCATCTGCAACTTCAGTAGATTCTTCAACGAGAGCATCAACTGCTTCACTGTCAACGCTGTCAGCGGAGGCTCCAGCTATTGTGTCCTCACTATCAGCGCTTATCAACGTTGTAGTCAAATCAGACTCATCCTCAAAATCCGCCTCTATTGCTTCGTCTTCAACATGATCAGAGGGAGATGGAACAGGTCCCGCTTCAACCAATTCTTCCTCAGGCTCCGTATTAGTTGTTTCTCCAACAACTTCCTTCTCGTCTACTTGAGCATCAATTGACTCACTATCGACGATGTCAACTGATCCTTCAGCAGGAAGTGCAGGGCTTAGGTCCTCATTTCCAGCACCCTTCGAAGACCGTACTTCACCAGCACTCTCAGGACTCTCCCCCACCGATTTGTCATCAACAATATCAGAGGGAGCAAGCTCGAGTTCAACACTTACTGGTTTTTCATCGGGGTCTCCATTAGTTGTCACTTCCGTATACTCGTTATCTTTCTCAACCTCCTCGACAGTGGCATCAACTGCTTCACTATCAACTTTGTCATCTGATTCTTGAGCAGAAATTCCAGGTCTTACGTACTCACGGTCAGCGGTCTCCAACGTTGTGGTCATCCCACTCGCAACCTCAAAATTCACTTCAACATCTTTGACTTCGACGTCATCGGGAGAGGCACACGCTGCCTCCGAACTTGGTGACTCCACGATGGGCTCTGCACTAGGTGCCGCTTCCTCATAATTTACCTCAACATCTTTAACTCCGACTTCATCAGGAGGAGCAGACACTGATGTCGAACTTGGTGACTCCACCATAGGCTCTGCACTGGGTGCCGCTTCTACAGCCTCCTCACCAGGAGCTTCGACTGGTTCATTGTCAACTACGTCAGCTGATTCTTCACTAAGAACTTTAGCTCCTACGTCCTCGCAGTCAGTACTCTTCGAAGGCATTTCAGCAGCCACCTCGCTGAGATCTTCAGAATTCACCTCAACAGAATTGTCCGCAACATCGTCAGAGGGAGGCGGCACAGTTTTCACTTCTGCTGATACCTCCTCTTTCAGATCCTTACCGGTGGTTGCTTCCACAGTCTCCTCGCCCTCCTCAACATATGGATCAACAGCATCAGTACTAACTGTGGCAGGTGTTTCTTCACCAATAATTTCAGCCCTTTCCTTCGCATTGTCTGGACTTTCTGATGTTGCATTTGTCTCACTCAGGTCCTCAGAATTCACATCAGGGACTTTCATTTCAATATCATCAGAAGGCACAGTTTCCACTCCTTCTGAATTTTCCTCTATGAGATCTTCACTCGTTGTTGCCTCCACAACTTCCTTGTCCTCTTCGCCAACATCATCGACTGTATCACCATCAGTATTCTCAAGTAAATTTTCTCCGGAAGACTCCGCTCTCACGCCCTCATTGTCACCAATTTCCGAAGATACTACTGAGTGCGGCTCCAAGGCATCTTCAGAATGCTTGGGTTCATCTTCGACATCATTAGAAGTAGATACAGGTCCTACCACTACTGAATCCTCCAAAGGCTCAGCAGTGGTTGCCGAATCTACAACCGAATCAACGCACTCTACAGAGTTATCCGATACTGGAGCAGGGACATCCTCAGAAATTTTAGGTTTCAAGCTCTCTTCATCATCTAGAACGGCTTTTTCAATAGCTTCACTCAACTCCTCGCCTTCTGTGATCTCCGCCGCATCTTGAATGTGATTCAAAGGGTTAAACTCTGCATCTACCTCAAGAGGCTCCTCTGCACTGACACTCAATGGAGCTTCCACAGTTGTATCAACACTCTCGTTCACAGATTCATCAGAGACCTTCCCCTCAACTTCTTCAGACTTCTCAACATCGTGAGATACTTTACGATTCAATTCATCCAAGGCAGGTTCACTCTTCACTACACGCTCGTCAACAGCCGCAGCAACATCATTAACCTCTTCCGCCACCACACCCTCGCTTCCCCCTGCCTCCACGGGCGCCGCCATATCCATCTCCTCGGAACTCATTACACTAGAGCCCAAAAATCCCCTCCCGATCTGCACGACTCCTTCAATCTGAAAGTGATTACCACGCCATACCAGCACCAGCAAATACTACACCATTCAAATACGCCTCACACATTGGCACTAAAATCGACAACGATGAATCTCTGTCCCAAACGAAATGTTTTTCTGCAACTGCAGCCAAGCGTCAGAGCAGGAGCACGAAACCGAGACTATGTCAACAATAGAGACGTCTGGTAGAGCTCTGTTTCGGGCTCCATAGCAACCTAAAGTTTTAAAACGGTGCCAGTTGAGTGCGATAAATGGGCCCTCCGCTTCCGCCGTCCTGGCAGCTGGCATATGGGTCAACATCGGTGGGCCACATTCAAATACCCCCCCCCCCGCAACTGTTTTACCGCCCCAGCCCTCCGATCAAACCTCACATCATGCTTTCAAACAACATCTTCACTTACATCAGCAAAAATCTGCTCTTCTATAGCTTCTTTTTCACTTCCTGTGTCCCTCTCGTCGTGGACAGCGCAGATTTCAGTGAGTCTACGGCGTCCGCATCTTCTTCCCTTTTTCAGCCGACATGTGCTCACTGATCTGAGCTCGCCACTGCCTGCAAAATCACTGCAACTGCACCGTGGGTTCAAGGGCACCCCCACTAGGCTGATTGAACAAGGGAGAGAGGGGGGGAACCATAATACATTTTTAATAATCAAAAGAAGAAGAATAAGATGAATAGTTCTAATGAAACGAGGAAGTGTGCGAATTTGGGCGAATTTGGGCGAATTTGGGCGGTGGAATGTGTCCTAGTTGGGGATGCTTTACATGCCAGGTCCAGTGCCATGTTTGTATTTATAGATTGGGGCATTGGACACAACATTTGACGGTGGTGGTGTCCACGTGTCAACCATTTGGATAACGTGGTGACCTAGGTTGAAATTTAAATGTATACGAAAAAGCTTTTATTATTATTATTATTTTATTGCATGTCTGTGTTTTTCAAAAACTCTGAAGTGATTCGTGTGTTGGAAGAGTGGTGGACGTTGTTTGTGTTTTTGACGATGTAAAACAGAATAATTAGAGTGACGTCTACATTCGTTTTTTTTTTTTTTTTTTTTTTTTTTGTGTGTTAATTCTGTATCAAATCAAAGTGTTGTAGAAATAATCTCATCATGGTGACGATAGAAGATTAAAAAAATAATAACAATACTGATGATATTTTTAGAACATAAAATACAATTGGGATAGGTAAACTCAATTCTATATTGTAGTTAATGATTAACATGCTGCTGTAAAGAAATTACAAAAATTCCTAAAACATTTCAACCTTTTTTCAAATCTTTGCTATCTTCTCTGTTATTTATTTATTTATTACAAACAATTGTTTGTTTTAGTTGTTGAATTTAAACCACTATAAGTTGCATAATCAACCTTTATAAATTAAATGTGTTCTATCTTTATCTAATAAAGCTACTCAATTTTCTTTATAATAATAATTATTAACCATAGAAACTTGGATTAAGTTTTTATGTAATTTTGATATGTGTGTTATATACATAATACAATTTTTACAATGTCAATAGAAAATTCAATAATACAATTAGTCAATACTTATTTATTTGATTTATTTTTTTACTAATAGATAACAATAATATTATTGCTACATTTATTATTATAATTTATCATATATTAACAAAAAGACTAGAATAATTATTATTGTAATCTTTATTTATTTTTAAATAATTAAATTATGTTATTAAATATTTTTTAATTGTAATAATACTAAAGACATGAATTACAAAACAATTGAAGAGTCAATACACTCTTGTGCCTTGACAAAAGAATAAATATTTACTTAAAGATAGTTATTATATTAAATTAGAATAACTATTGTCAAAGATCAAAAGATTAAAGATTTTTGAAATAAGGCAAAGAGCAAAAAAAGGCATTGATAATAGTGAAGAAGATATTACTTCTATCTCTATATATACTATCTAAATAAGAATTACATGGAAAAGTTATGTAAGACCTCTAACATGTGTCTAAATTGTAGAACATATGTCTAATTTGTAAGACAAGTTTTATATATGTGCAATATATGGCCAACTTATTGATCTAATTATTAATCTATTAATCACTTACAAATACATATGAAGTCAAATTTGAATCTATAAAGCTTTTAAGAAAATTTTTATGTTTAAATAATTATTAATATTGATTATACTTATGATATTATTATTTTTTTAGAAATAACGTCCAAAAGGAGCAATAATCACATGTTAAGGAAGTCTAGGATGTAACAAATTATATTTGTTACATATTTTGATCTTTGTTATCTTTCATAATAGTTGATAGGCCTTTTCAGCCATTGATAATATTTTATATCAAGGCAAGAAGACTCCCTTGTTATTTGGTCATTTTTGAGGCCTTCATAGTATCTTTCTTAATAAAATATTCAAAATACCATTAAGAATGATTTTTTATCTTAAATAGTATCACCAAATATTGAGAGTCTCTTCTAAAGTTGTGATATCAAATGCATTGTACTTTACCATTTATTCAAAAAAGAACTTATTATTTTTGATAGTCTTTATTTTTATTATGTCATATTAAAAACTATAATAATCCCAATCTCTTGTGTAATAATTTAATAAAAAATAGTTTCTAAATTAAATATATCAATTACCAATTTTTTTATCTTTTTAATACTACAAATAAAAAAAATTACAAATAAGAATAGAAGATAGAATGCAATCTTCATTAAACCTTCTTTACTTCAAAGCAAAGCTTTTCTTGACTTTTTATCTTGATTTTGATAGATGGTGTTATAAAAATATTGACATTTTTTGCTACAATTTTATTATTTCTAGATAACACAAATGTATATTCACTAATATCATATCCATACTAATATATAAGATGTTCTAACCTATTTGGCACCACCTTGAATCTAAAAGCTCTTCTATATCAAATTCATCATTGTTATCTGCTTTTACAAAAAGAGATGATATTTATCTTCTTTCCAATATATCTACTACCTTGTATGGCTTAAGAAGAGATATAAAATTTGAAATGGATCTTCATGGATTCCAATATATATAATCAATATGCAATTAGACTGATTTGTTTATAAATAAAAAAATATTTTAAATCTATAATAATCCAACTTGTCCCAAAAAAAAATAATCTTAATATTAAGGCAAAATAATCATGTCTTATTGCCAATTTAGAATTAAGGTAGTTTCTTGCAATAGACATATGTATAGATCTTTTGTTGTTTTTGATCTTTCTTTAATTATGCCTTTATTATTGTATATAATTTTAATAAATTATTTATTAAATCTATTTTTATAAGATTATTAACTTTTAAAAAACTAAAAATATCATATTATGGTTGATAATATAAAAAATATAATTATTAAATAAAAAAATATATCACATCATTATAGAAAAACTTTGCTAATAGCAAAAGTATTATATAATCATTTTGATGGTAGTTGATGGTGCATTTCAAATGTTGCTTCAATTCTTGACTTATCTATTTTGTTTATTCATTAGTGTGAAAATGAAAAGCCAAAGGTTGTTTTATGTCTATTTTCAAAATCTAAATTTTTTCCTTTGTAGTCTAAATACAAATTGAATTCCTCTATTTGATATAATATCTTTTAGTAATCTACAAAAATAATTTTTATTATTAAAAAAAATCTTAGTTGTTTCTTTACATATAATAAACTTTATACATAATATGAAATATTACACCTTAATGAAACAATCTACTATTATAAATATTAAATCATAAGAACTTAAAATTAAAAAATCTTTGATAAAATCAATAGAAACAAAAGATTATGGTTGTTTTACTATAGATAGTGGTTGAAAATTTTCATAAGATCAATGACAAGGAATTTTTGATTTTTAAAAAATGTAAAAAAATACAAAGTTCTTAACTATTTTTTATAATTGAAGCCACTAAAAATCTATTCAGATTAATTTTAAGTTCTTGTTGCATCTAAAATATCATGTAGTTGAAAAATTATGACAAGCTTGAAGAGCTCATAAATGTACTTCATCTTTTAGAATATATAAGCATCCTTTAAAATAGAAAAGATTACTCTTTAATTCAAACTTAAAAGAATCTTGAGATTTAGAAGAATTATTCTTAAGATTAAGATATAAATATACTCTAAGTTGTTATACATTGTCATGGGCATAATTGACAATTATTATTACCTAGAAAAGAAGAATTAGGTAGAAGTAAATAAAAGTATATAGATTTGATAATATTTTATTGAAAAGGTTTATATATGTAGATTTGAATTTATATATATTTATAGGTCATTAATAGGTTGAAATTTTTTCCAAAAATTTGGCCATATGTCACACATGCTAGTAACTTGTGGTACAAGTTGACCATATGGCATACATATAGGAAACTTATTTTACAAGTTAGAAACAAGTTAGAGGTTTTATAAAATGTTATGATGTAGTTTTTGATTAGATAGTATATATAAAAGCAAAAATAATGCCTTTTTAAACTTATCAAAGTCTTTTTTCTTTTTATTCATGTTTCAAGAGTCTCTAGTCTTCTTGTCTTTTATAATAGCTATTCTAATTTTAATAATATATTATTTTTAAGTGAACATCTATTTTATTTAATGACATAAGATTATATTAATTCTTTTGTTATTTTTTATTTGTATCTTTGATAATATAATAAGAGTATTAACTTATTATTTTTATTTTATTTTAGAAACAAGTCGATGATTTTTTTTTATAATTTAAAATTTATAGATTATCCATCTTTAAATTAATAAATTTTATTTTCTAAATTTTATTATATATATATATATATATATATATATATATATATATATATATATATATATATATATTTGTAGAAATTTTTATTTGATATTAGAAATTATAGATTATCCTCTTCTAATTTGATTTGTAGATTTGTTAAAATATTTTGTTATAGAAATCAAAGAAAAAAATATGGAGACTATATTTGGAAGAAATAAAAATTGAATTATAATTATTGTAGATCTTTAGAAATTTTCTAATACTTTTAAGGTAGAAATTTCACATTTTATTAATGTCAATTATTAAAAAACTATTCCTATGCCTAAAGAAGAAGTGAACAATGAAGTCTAATATCTATGCTAAGAAGTTGTACAATTGAGAGAATCAAATAGATGTCAAAGATAAGAACTTGATGAATGAAAATAAACAAATAAAAATTTTTATAAAAAAAGATAACAAAAGAGTGATAAGTACATATGCATATATTAAAAAACAAAAACTAGAATGGATATTACTA